GGGGAAGGAAAAAAACCCAGCCCAAATCGGCAGGCGATGAGGACTTCGTGCAACCTTGTCCAGCGGCCCTCCTAGCTCTGAACCTGATACGTAAGCACCGTGTACTAGATTGTTGCATGGCTGGGGCTCAGCGCCCAGTGCGGAAATATGTGTTCCAGACCCTAGACCTTTGAAACATGAATATAAGCGACTCACCAGCTGCTTTCGAGCATCCCATGCAAGGGACATCGGGAGCAGAATGCAGTCGTTCAGGAGAAGCGTCAGGGCCAGCAGATCCCAGCAAAGTTTGAAGAGACCTATTCATTGTAGCTCGTTTTGCGATTACACTTAAAGAGAGAAGAAGAAGAAGAATCTCCAGGCACGGAGAGGTACCGCCCTTTGAAGCCAGAATGACAGTTTGGGGGACAAAGGATTGACATGTGGTTTCTGTCCGGATGGCATGCAGGACCCGTGATTGTGCAACTATAGCAGGACTTTGTGACAAGATCTGCTTCGTCTCCAGTTCTCTTCCATCGCACTCTCCCGTCTCCTGCTCTATACTCTAGATCACGCAGACAGTATGATGATTCGCCACTCTGCGAGCCTTGCGGGTGTAGAATTGGCAATTTGCTAGTCAAATTTGCAGATGCCAAGTCATCCATCGTGGCTGTCCGCGATCGAAAAGCAGTTCTTGCCTCCGTCGGTAATGGGAAGATGTGTCTTTGGGTGTAGATACTTCTCGAGCACCGATGCAGCTACAGACAGCTCTGAGCATGAAGGGCCTTGTTGGGTCCTGCTCTTCCAGCTTCACCCTGGGATGCTTCCGTTGACCTGAAGTTCGAGCCAAAAGTCAACAAAAGATACGGTATGTGTTTAGGCCATGTAGGGCATATTTCGCACAGAAAGACTGCGAAACTGGAGCCGAACAGACCGGCAAACAGCCGGCTGGGCCAACGGGGTTGATTGGTTGGGCCGATCCCCGTCCGAACTTTGGGAGCCCCTCTCTGCGCCACACCGTGCGACCACGGCAGGGGCTTGTGTCGGTCGTTGTGCGCTGCGAGCTTTTTGGACGGCTTCGTTTCAGGAGGAATGCGCTTCTGTGCGACGTTCACTGATTCACTATTCAAGAGCTCCGAAACGCAAGTTACCAAGGCGGGAACAACGAGTGAGCCTCTGGCAGCAGCACATCCGAAATGCACGAGGATTGCGCACGAGGGTGAGGCTTGCAACGCATCTGAACATGCCCCTTGTTGATTTGTAGCGGTAGATAAATGGTAACTGGATACCACACGCAGGTATGACCAGCTCTTCCAAGCAGCAGTTCCATCCACCTGCCGTGCAGGCGAAGGTCCCCACTGGCTGCAGCAGCATGGACGTTGCTCACTCGCCGGAACCGTGGTTGGGCTGCCTGTGTATCGAGATTGTTCTGAACTCCTGTTCGGTTCGTACCCGTCGCCGTTCTCTTCGACTCCCAAGCGTGGTCTGCTTGAATTGCACACGATTTCCCTGAAGCTATCACCGCACCAAAAGCCTAGCTATGCCGGAGTGACATGCTATGCAAATATGCAGGTCGCCCTTAGGTTGGCACCACAGCCCATGTTCCTATGCCCTGTCGAGCTCCGATGCCTGCTTGTTCTTCCGCTTCTGGAGGTTGTGCTGGTGCAGCAGCAGCCCCGGCGGATCCGACACAGAAAGCGTGAGTCGGCCAGATGACGAGTCCCTGGAAGCGGTCGAGCTTGCCACCTCTGGCTGCCGCTGCTCAAGCGCTGTCGCAGCGATGCAGGACTCCTTAGAATTCCAGCGCCAATCAGAGCTTGTGGGCAAAAACTTATTTAGAAAACTTCCTTCCCCAAGCGAAATCGGACATGCGCTCAGATTGTGGAGGCTGGGGTTCTCCATCCTGGACCACAGCCCGCAGCGCGTCCAACTGGTGGCCCACCACACTGAGCGACTCGGTGGCAGTCTTCAACTCCCTTTCGGCTCTCTCCAGGGCATCGAACACCTGTTCGAAGTACTTGCACGCAAATCTCACATACATACAAACATGCATACACACACATACATACATACATACATACATACATACATACATACATACATACACACATAATCATACATACATACATAGAATGCACGCAGAAGTGCATACCGCTCGGGGAGAACGAGAAAGAGCAACTTCAGAGGAGTGAGCATGCAAGCGAGAGCGCACCCACGGAAGAGAAAATAATAGAGAGAGAGAGAGAGGGAAAGAGAGAGCAGGAGACCAGACAACCGAGCCTTTGGACTCGGACCTTGTGCAGGTGTGTTGGTCGGCACTGGCATGGCGAAGCGCCACACTTCATTGGCGGTGCATGCTCCAGATGCCGAAAGCAAAGCTATCTACTGAGAATTAGTTGCTCCTTTGCTTAGGCATGCAACCACAAGCGAGCAAATGTGCCTACTCTCGGCTGAATGAAGTACTGCAACGCTAGCGCTTGGCTCAACCGAACCCTGACACTCCGTCGTTACAGGCGTCGACTGGACTGTGCTTTTTGAGGTTCTGCATAATCGAGCAGGAAGGCTAAGGGCCAGTTCAACGTTCAACTGGGACCACCGAAGGAGCCCTCAAAAGAGTGTGAATACAGGAGAGCACTAGTGGTTGAAGAGTAGGACCAAGCAGCCTCCCCTGATTACATGGCCGTAGCGACCCGGTTGTACCTCTAACTTCTGCCTGCGAGTTGCTACGGCAGACCTAGGCGAAAATGCATTCAGCCACTTAGGAAATGGTGGTGATATCGTGAAGGGCAGCGTCGGCTATACTTGGCTGAGGTCTGCACTGGGCTCGAACAGGTTGCACCTCGCGTTCAATTGTGCCGCGCAATCCGGCGGTTATCCCACTGAATCTGTGTTCTGGAATCACAGGCGCAGCTTCAAAACCGGTCAACGCAGGCAGCCATGGTTTGAAGCACAGAGCAGACATCTAGATTGTCATCTAAAAAGAGCACTCAACACAGCACGCCCAGCATGCATGGGCTGCATTGGGCTGCCGTCTACGCAGCCTCTGCCAGAACCTTGAAGCTTCTGACAGGCAATTGAGACCTGCCACGAAGGGACTGGACGACGTGACTACACCATTCGGTCAAGGTATGTTCAGTTCTGTGTGAGGCTTGCAGCAACGGACAGCAACGAGACGGCTTTGCGAGCCGCTCTCCAGGAGTTTCTGCTGCGGGTACATGGACCTGTGACATCGTCAGGAGATTTTGTGTGATGATCTTCTGAGGACCCGTGGCTTCCGGGCACCGCACAAGCGGTCGACTCGCTGCACAGGTCTCGCTTCTTTGGGAGCCTGTCGAAGTTTGGCTCCCCATTCTCCGCTTATTCGAAATGCTAACCCTTACGTCGCCGGTTTGCCATTCTGAGTATGTTGCTTCGAAGGGGGCAGCACGGGAGCATGTCTGCACGAGGCTAGGGAAAGCTCACATCCCGATCTTGACCATGCAGGCCTGGAGCTTCTTCCACCAGTCTTTGCCGTGCGCGCTGCGATCATGTTCCAAAGCTCGCTCGGCCGCTGCCTTTTCCAGAAGCATGCAGTGCCAGCAGACCATGGGCTTGCTTGCATCCCCAATCCCGACGGATCTCGACGGAAGTTCAAACAGGCAGAGTAGAGCACTTTTGCAGGGAGGGGGTCTGAACATGTCTCATTCACAATAGCTGACTTGCAAGACTTGTCCACTGTGTTTCTGTGCCTCTGCTGCTGCATGCATAGCAGCCTCATCCGCGGACCTTTTGGACACACTCACTTCTTCCCATGGAGGCCGCCGTAGACGCAGGCAGGCGCCGGCCTCTCAGATACTTCCTTCTTCCGCGTAGCCGGCGTAGCCTTTTGAGGCCTGTCCCGTGACCGAAACTCTTCTGCACAGCAAAATCCCTTACTGGTCTGGTCTGATACTCCTTTACAGCGAAACAGAAAGCTTTGGAGGGAGCTGAGGACGTGACACCTCTGGGCCAGGCCTGTTGGTAGCCGTCCTGCATGCCGAGGGATGAAACAAGGACCCACTGGACTGAGCAAACTTTCCGGGCCTCCGAGGCTCTGCCAGGCTGGTTGCAGCTTTGAGCTTGGGCTCAGGCGCCTCGGCACAAGGCTAACAGTATTCCTTGTTGCTGTGGTTCCTGTAGCGGGCTCCTCTGGCCGTTGCGTGTTGTTGCTCCGGTGCTTTACTGCGATATACTGCAACTCTTGCCAACATCCGCCTTAACCCGAACAGCATGGAGTTTCGTGAACTGCATGCAGCCTTACAGCTGCTCATCGCTCTTTTTGGTCTCAGGAATTCGCCTTGAGCAACCTGTACAGTCCTGGATCCTCTTTGAGAAGCCGCGATGTTGCTGCAAGGCACTCTGCAGCAACGCCACAAGCAGCTACTGGTGACAGCGACGGCTCTCATGCTCCTGGCATCGCTCAGGCATCCTTGAACTCGAAGTCACGAAGGAGGCGACACTCACAGTTGCCTGTGATCTGCTGGCACAGAACATCAGCCACCACCCGATAACAAGCACGTAGACCCAGGCAAAACACTTAGCAAAACAAAAAAGCGGCACACCTCTGCCTGACTTGTTTTCTTTCGAGTTTCACATGGACGTACTGTAGCACACGGGCAGCAGACCCACAAGTGTCACCAATGCCCGTAGCCAAGGCGCTGAGCCACCATCCTTTTCGCAGCTTTCCCGACTTCTTCTTCCTGGATCGTCGCGAGTTACCCTGGAGAAACCTTTGAAACATCTCAAGGACCGCAAGGCAACAGGCTGCCTCTAGGATATCTCGTCACTGTACTCAGTTTCTTTAGATCTCACTCGGTGAGCGAGGCAGTCACAAGTTCCGAGGCTCTCTGTCAAACCCATTTGCTCCGTCAGCTCCCCGATCAAATCACAGTGCGCTACCACGACCTGAGCTTCCGCAAAAATCTGCATCGGCCACGAAGCTTTGCAATAACATTCGATCGTTACATACCACCGGCCGATACTTCGGTGTCATGTCGCGCGCTTACCGCCCTACGATGGCAAAACACTCCTGTGGCCACTGCACGTAACCAGCACCAACGACTCAAGTGACTCTGTCTCATGCGAACATGCGAAGATTCCCCAAAAAGCGGAGACCCTGCGTTGGATGCTCTTTACATCAATGCGGTCAACGCCGAAAGGCGCATTGACCTTCTTCTGCATGAGAGAGAGAAAGAGAGAGAGAGAGAGAGAGAGGAGAGAGAGAGCGAGAGATAAAAACGACTTTCGCCGTTTTGACGCTGCAGGGTTCCGAGCCCAAGTGCGAGGAAGTGATAGGTATACCAGGAAGCGAAAGGAATGTTCCCCGACGACCTGTCGAGAAAGCCTTTCTTTAGAGTTGGGGGCTTTCCTTGGCTTGCTCGGGTTTAGCACCGGAGCCTCGGAAGTGTGCTGTTCGGCCTCCCTCACCAAAGCTGAGGCTGCAGCGATCCGATCTTCCTTCACGGAGGCTAGCTTTTCAAGTAGCTGCGCCACACGGCCAGCAAAGATAGCTTCGTCCGCAGCCTCAAATGCCTTGGCAGCAGACTTCATGTTGGACGATTTGTAAACTTGACGACGAATCTGAGCTTCCTGCATCAGGGTCCTTCTGGTACGCATTCCGCAAGTCATCTCCTGAGCATATCATCCATACTCGCCCAGGGATGCACTCAAAATCACCCGGATGTGGCAGGCATTCAAGTTGCAAGTTGAAACGATGACAGGGAGAACCGCGTGTGATCGAACCACATCTGTCCCGGATATCCAGTCGATGAGCAACGTTGTGAACATGTCTGCATCGAAGAAGCAAAAATCTTGACAGGCATCAGAACCTTCAGAAAAAACATTCCTCCGTTTCCTCTCGCAACCCAGCAGCCTTCCAGAGGCACATCCTGGTAAGCAGGCGGGATCGTCCACCACACCTGCAAACTTGCAGCAACTGCACTTCGTACCGCACCGGGCCTTTTTTTCGGAAACCCTGTTGAACAGCAAGCACCTCGGGCAAGGAGCCAAGATGGGCGTGCAGGTGGGGGAAGGCGAATTGGAGCTGCTTCGGCGTGGAGCCCAGATCATCGCAGCCCGTCACCTCAGCCCAGCCCTTTCGCACGGGGGACAGATCAAGAGAGCTTTCGTTGAAGAGGCTGCCGAGCTGGGCATCCGGACAACTTCGCGAAGCTCGGGCCAAATCTCGAAACGGGTGCCCTCTGCGGCTTGGAATGCTTCCGGCCAAATCCCTCTCAAGCAGCATGTCTGCGCAACGGCTTCAAACCAATGTTGCTGCATATTATTACTCGTCAAGGTGCGCCTGCAGCTGTATCGAGAGCGCGGCGAAGTGGTGAACTCAGAAGCAGCCAACCTGGGCCAAACACGCCGGCTTCTCCGGCTTCTAGAGACTTGGCACCAATGTAAAGCAGGCAGCTTGCGAGGCTGGCAGAGGCATGTTTGAGCATCAGCTGTGCTGAACAATGGCAGAGCATTCGTAGGAGCATGGCTTCAGTTCCGTCTGACCGCTTCGTGTCTGAAGTCCGGTGCGGCCCGGATCAGAGCAGCTTCGCAGCAAAACAAGCGTTTGCATCCAAGAGTCCAGCCGAGGATCCGATTTCCTCGGGAGGAAGCAGTGCGCGAGCACCACCAGGCGCCGCGAAGATCTACAAATGATATCTCAATGCCTACCACCCCCACTGTCCCCAAGCAGACTTGACTTGGAGCTACAATTCCGGTCGGTGCACCTCGAAGAGCTCTTGCAACTGCGGCCGTGCAGCGGCTGCCTGGCAGTTGCGCAGGGCTTGCCCGAAGCTCCGACTGCTGTGGCCCATGCTTTTGTAATGGTAACCTGGTGTCGATGCTCCTACATGGACAGGAAAGTGCAAGTGGACGGGGCCTGCGCTCGACCACGTTCAGTGAGTTTCGCGTCACGGAGCAGCGGATCCTCCCCAGTCTCGCGCATGGCCTGTGACAGTTGCCCTTAATCCACGACAACTTTCGGCTGCTGTTCCGCTAAGTTTGCAAGTAAGATGCAGTCCTTGTTGTACTCCGATTCGCCATGGCGCACGAAGATGATGGTCTTTCGGGGCATGACTGCACCATCGAGGCGGAGTCAACTCACTGACTGCCTTGTGTACTCTCGCAAGCCCTTGGTATCGCGTACTGTTGTCTACAAACCACCGTGCTCACCACCCAACGCTGCAGCTCCAAGCTTTGATCGTCCATCTGACGTTTCCATACCCATGCAGCACGAACGAAGGGTTACATGATGAGCTTGCCACCGGTCTTGGTAGGGCCCCTGCTATCATGCGAAAGCCTCTTTCTCGCAGCCCTTCGGCTACCGGTCTGCTCTCGCACTCGGACCAGCCAGACATGACCAAAACAACGAGATTTAATGCGAACACGCCCTTCAATGCGACGAGGGCTCCTACCAACTACCAAGCCTACCGAGCACCCACAGATAGTCAGTGTGCAATAGTGTGCATCTCGTAAACGCAAGCATAAGTCGTGCAGGGCCATCAGTCCAAACTGCCCCGCAGCGAGGGCGAGACTGTTATGTGACTAAGAGCTGGACTCGATAGGGTGATGGCTGGACTGGCTGAACCTGTGGCTGCCTGCACACAAGCAGCAAGTCACCAAAAAAGTTTGAATTTCTGCTGGTCTCATCTCGTTCGAAGAGCCTGGTCTCTGGCACTGCAGCAGGCTGCGGCGATGGAGCTCCGTGCGGCACTGGGGCGAACCTTGACACGAAGTCTAGAATAACGATTCGGAAACCGGTTGCACTGCAAACATAAAGGGCATCATTGCTGATAGCAGATTGTCCAAGCAGCTTTGCCAGCATCGCCGCAGCCCGGGCGGTCTCTTCAGCCTGGGTCTTACAGCCCGGTCCTATGATCCCAGCCCAATCTCGGAAAGAATCTGGATGTTCGGCACGTTAAGGGATGGTCTCCAACTCTGCAGGTTCACTCACCTTACATGTGACTCACGCACTGGGCGCCGTGCTGCGAGGGCTCCCAAGAGGTCAGGCTTTACTGCCTGCAAAGATATGGAGGTGTGGGCGTGCCGATCACTCATCTCTAGTGACTCTAGTGACTACCTCGCAGATGCACGCGCAGCACTGTCTTTTCGCCGATGATCTGCCAAGTGCCCAGCAGCAATATGTCAATGACAACCTGTTTTTGGCAAAGGCACTTTCCCCGTCACAGGCTGTAGTGAATAGGAAGCCAGTCCACATCGACCAGCTGCTGCAAAAATTGTCTGTGTTCTGCATGGTGCAGTTGGTTAAAGACGCATTTCTGGCTGTCAGCACCAGCTCAAAGCCATAATTAATGACCGTTGGCAGCTGAATGTCTCAGAGCAACAGATCTGTTGTCATTGTTGGTGTGCGATTCGGAGTGGAGGTAAGATAACAGCAACACTAGGCCAAAACGCTCAAAGGATGCACAGAGACGGTGCGAGAACGGACCTGCGGGGTTCATCAAGGTGGTCTTGCGATCCCCGCGCAGAGACACGTGACGGGAATTGAAAGCGGGGCGTGAAAGGATCACTAACAACGACAACGTACACGACTGCATCTGTAGCTTTAAGGGAAATGAACATATTCTTGGATCCTCCTTGGGCCCCCCTCTCATGCTTCAGAGCTCGCCGGCACAGTCCCCTGATTTTTAGGGGCTCGAAGACCCCGTACTTCTGCAACGTCGCTTCCGGCTTCCTACCCGAGTGGTCTAGCATTCGTTGCAACTTCCCCTAGTGCCTACAACCGGTGGGACGGGCCGCGATACTCTTTCGAGTGGCTGAGATGTGCTGCTAGCTGCTGGTACTAGGAGTGAGCAAAGTGCATTGGCACTAAGTGTGCCCTGCGCATCGCAATGCAGAGACATGTTTCGAGACTCTTCAATTTGCTTACACCAGATAAACTACACAACGACAAGATGGCATGCGTTTGCCCAATCCAGACGTAATTGGCTGACACACCAGCTCGGCGACTGTTTGCTGCATCATTCCCAACCACGGACAGAAAGGAGTCCACTGTCAGACACCATCAGCTGTGCCAGCTGTGCTTGTCGTGGTGTGGGATGTTCCGTCGCATTGAACCTGCAGGGCATCCCGACTTTTGTCAGTTTTTGCTCTATAAGTCCGGCTGCAGCTGTGCCAGCACTGTTCTAGTCCATCCCACCTTCAAATCCGCGGCGAAGGGTGTACTAAGGGAACGTACATGACCTTACATCTGCAATCTCCACTGTTTTTGACAAGCCTGACCCCGCCACACGCTTCCTCAGCAGAACTTAGATGAACTTAGCACAACACCTGCAAAGGTAGCAACAGTGAATTCCCGAGTGTGCTCACATTGCGACCAGGACGCCCCCATCAGGCTCTTCTGCTCGAAGTTGCCGTTCGGCAGGCGGTCCTTCGTTGTTCCATATCGCTCCCACAAGCTTGCAGGGTGCCCTGTTTGCTGATGCGACAAGGCGGTCGGCTCGATTTCTACGTCTCTGTGCCACGGGCATGACAACTCAGTCGCGGTTCTACCACTTGCCACACCCCTCTCTGCGGGGACATCAGGATTGGTCCCAAGAAAGTTAATCATACCCGGACAAAGGATCAATCTGGCAGAACTGCTGCGATGTGGTGCCGACCTCGCCGTGGAAGGCTTGCGGCACATGTCATGATCCTATATGCCCCTTGCAAACAGCAGAGGGCTGGAATAGGATAGTCCTCGTTGAAGCTCCTGTTTGAGGTCGTATATAGTTTCATGTTAGCTAGAACTTCTCGCCAACACAGACACAACCCTACTAAATGAAAAGCATCCGTGCAGCCAACCGGCAGGGATCACCATTCGACCTCCAGGCTTCAGCTGTTCGAGCAAAGCTTCAGGAACAGACCTCGGAACTGCCGTGTAGTCAATGTGTAACTCATTTTCTGCGACGTCACACTACGGCACACTAGAATCTAGGTCCTATGCTTCAACAATCCATGAGTGCAGCAAAGCAACTCAGCTGCTGCCCCAACATGGATGCAATCGAAGGGCATGGCCTGCTTTCTCGTCGCTACATGAAAACCAGGCAGCGGCATGGGAGTTCTCAAACCGCCGCTATGCACGTCACGACCACACTCGTCTCAGCACAGCACACGCGTCTCTGCACCAGGACACCTTCTCGTAGCCTTGCCATCCGTCCCCCTGCTCGAGCTGAAGCAGCCCACCTTATGTATGCTTCATGGCACACGGTAGCTGGCCACCACAAAAGCTCGTAGTCATCTCTGACTGATTCTGCAGGCTTTGGGTCTTTGGGTCGCCAAAACGCCACTCACTAGAATGCCAATGCATGCAGGTTCAAGCTGCACTTTAAAATGATACCTTGCTGCATCAAGGTGCTCTCCAGCAAATCTGCATCTGCCTTCATGATGTTCTCCACCGCTAGCTCCACCAAAGGGGACAGGTAATCTATACCAACCACCTTTCCTCCTTCACTCTCCTCCGCCCCTACCATTCGCGCCATCACCGCCGCCAGGTACCCGCTGCCGCTGCCAACATCCAGGGCGCGCATACCTGAGCAAACCAAGAACTCAGGGACTTAGGTGAAACGTTCACGAAACTGCACTTGACATGCTCCGGTGCAGGTGATTTCCGAGTAAGTGCAGCTCCCCGGCCCATATTTTTCAGGGTCGCAGCCATACTGGACTAGCTCTTTTTTGTGTATAAGTTTGCGAACCCAAGCTGCCAGGCTGGAGGTGCTTGGCGAGCAACTCCAAAGCGTGTGCGTGCATGTGAGGTGCACTGATTGTGGCCTGGTACCCGATAGGCCTTGGCGACAACCAACACGAGCAGGAGAATCTACAGAGCGGTGTCGTAAAGAGAGCATGCAAGCCGTGACTCATGCTCGGCAATCCGAAAAGCCAAGGATCTGCGGAGCATCGGTGTACGGATTCTTGGGTGCATAGTGTCCTCGGGCAGCCACACTCGCTCTGTCGACGGCAGCTGCACAGCTACAGGGCCTCGATCCACCGCAAGCATGGCACGCTCCACGGACTCCGAAGCGATGACACCGGCCTTGCGGAGGTTCCGCACCTGCCATGCTGACAGTCATGAAAACACTGGCAATACTCCCCCCCCCCCCCCCCCCCNNCCCCCCCCCCCCCCCCGCCCCGGGTCGCCTACTGCCTCACCCATACGCTATTAAATTGTATCCTTATCGTCTGCATCCCAATGATAACACCAACATTTGCTTGTTTCGGCTCTATTTGTTTAATTGTTGTTGCTGCGATTTCAACCCATCGGGGAATCCTTGTGGCCTCATTCAAGCATTCTATTTGGTGCTCCGCTCTGAATCAAGGTGAAGTGAAGACTGACAGGCCAGGATGGCAAATAAAAGAAACAAGTTTTTGTCCGGTTTCCTTGTTATCAACGGGCCTCGACACTGCAGGATACAGGATATTCCAAGAGCATCCACATCGTCTCTAGGGCTTTGTGGGGAACGTGTCAGGTTGCCCGGTCAGTGGGGCTCTCTTATTTCTGGGTCTTTGTGGCGATGCAACCGCTGAGGGGAATCAACTGGTACACAGCTACGTGAGACCAGTTGTTCATCTCTCTTTGTCTCTCGGAAGCTTGCCGCGGCGGCCAGCTCCGCATTGCCTGTGCCGGAACAGCGCCAGGCCATGCCGCGAGTAGGAGAAAAGCTTCAACTCCTTTAGGTTCACGGACTAACAACTGCTGGGGGGGTTAAACCGGGAGAGGGCTACGATGGCCAGGTTGGACCCGGCATGACCCGGCAATTTATTTTTGAGGCCTGAGAGGATGCTAGCGATGTCCGCAGGGTCGCACTCCATTCCTGGCCATTCTGATTGCAACACTGATGGAACTCCGTGGCATTAGGTTTAGTAAGCTGTGGCGGCGAAAGGTTGATGAGCGGCTAGTGAGACACTCATGGTCACCCTTCCATCCCGGCGCTCGAACAGCGACCGTAAGGAAAAACAACGGGCTGAGTAACTTGCGACCACACCAAAAAACTTGGCAGGAAGGACTAACCGCCAGCTCGTAATCAAATGGGTTGCCTGCTGATTGAATGGCAATGCCGAAACCATACTTATAGCAAAAGGCCTGTTCAACTGACATGAACTGCCTCCTCAACCCGAGGGCAAAGTGGAAAAAGGAAGCTCGAGAAGCACCACGCAATGTTTTTCGCCGCAGTCGCCTTCGACAGTGCCTGCTTCCGCTGACATTCGGCAAGAGGGCTCACACATTTCGTCGTTGCTGCTCTCGCTTGAGTCGTATGCCTTGAACATCTGGGGCTGCAAATCTCAAGCTCATGTTTGGGTTTGCTAGAAATCCCACCCTGTGGAAGGCCTAAGACAGCTCAAAAAGACTGATCAACAAAGCCGCGAGTCCACAAGTGCGGCGTGATCTCTAGCCTCACCGGCCTCAGCATTCTGTGCCTCTGTGTCCTGGCGGTTCACCTTACGCACGGTTACAAACGATGGCGGACGCCTGACAGTCTTTGCTGGTGGCTGCTCGGCAACGCAGCAGTCGAGAAGTCTTCGCTCTGCGTGTTCTCGTCGGAACATTGCCGCCTCTCGTTCCCTGCTTGGCAAGCGCCGGCGTCCACGACCACCTTGGCCGCCTTTGCCTTGTCCACTTCTTTTGCCTCGTCCCCACCCAGCGGGACATGTTGACCTGGTCGCTGCATTGTTGAAAGCTGCGGAGTTCCACGGTTTCTCTATAGCCCTGCTCCGCTTCGTGCGCTTGTCATGGTCAAAATCTATCATTAGCCCCTCTCCACTGCCGTCAAAGCAGTGGCCTTGATGGCGCCTCATGGACTGTGTGGCATGTGTCTCTGACCCAAAATCCACGAAGACCATTTTGCGGGAACCTCCAACTGCCCGAAGGCCACAAAAGCCCTCATCTTTGGAGAACAGCTCTGAAACATCGGCCGCTGTCGTGCTCTCCGGGATGTTGGTCACATACAACGTCAATGACCTTTCTGTGGTGGTCGTTCGGCCACTGCCAGTCCACATTGCAAGGCTGTGTATCGGCTCTGGTGGCGCTTCAGTGCAACTGCGACGACGAAGAGTCCATCCTCTTCAACGAATTACATGCGCCAGCTAGCGTATGCTGGATGTGGTTCAGATGGGAGTGAAAGATGTCTGATCAAGCGGAAAGCTGCGAATCTTCCAACAGTGCGCACAAAATGCTGGGGGCAAGCTTGAGCGACTTGTGCCAGCTGGGGGTCGCTGAGGGGTTCAACATGGGCAGGGCCATTGCATCCTGCTAGACGGGAGTTCAGGGTCTTGGCAAGGTTTACATGCACATGTCATGTAATTTTGATTTTACGTAGTTGCTGCTTAGGGAACATGAGGTCGACTACACTGGCAGTCTGCTCAAGTTATGCTACCTCTGCTTCGGGCCTTCACTTTGGCCTTGGCCTTGGCGTTGCCATTCGGTGCCTCTCAAATTCAAAGGCAACCAACACCCCAGCCCAGGTGTCCCAGGCGTTCTTCCGACGCCGTCCCGTAGATCATGGAAAGAAACGTGAGCGATCTGCCTGCTGCGATCCCGGCACCTTCGAGGAGAATGCCTGAGCCGCAGAGCACAGCTCGTCGTGCAGTAAAACTACAATTACGGCCGACCATGCCCGACCCCTCTTGGACGAGCTAATATGCGACTCCAGGTGCAGAGCGTCCACCTGCTCGGCCTCGCGGTGTGTTCTGTTCTTTGATCATCGTGCGGTGAACATCCTACTCTTGAAGGCCTAGTGTCAAGCACAGCATGAATTCTCTGCATAAATAGGCTAGCGGAGTCGCTGTCGGCGATTGTTCGCTGAAGACCCGTTCTGTGCCTGCATGTTTCGCCCCAGAAGCAGGTTCCTCCTTCAGCATTGATGAGTGCGGCTATCCACAGGATGCTGTCATAGCTGCTGGGTCCTCGAGATCGTCGAAGTCAAACTCAAACATCACATCAGCTGTGGGCAGCCGGTCTCATGCTGTCTCTTGTGACGATGCGCGCTCGGTTACATCGCTTCTGCACGCTCTATATCTCTGTCTAATGCAAACACAAACTCTTGCAGGTTGTGACTCTGACTCAAGAAAAGAAGCAGCTGGAGCTAAACCGATGCTGATATTTCTTGTCTTGCTTTCGACTTTCTTTTCGCTGGCTTTCCGATACATGTCTACAACCTGAAACTTGAGGGAGGCATAAACAGCAAGAACCTGCCACTCACAGTGCCATGCTGTGATCCATTAAGGCAGCAGCTAAGGCAGAAAAAGGCCGGTCCATCTTCAGATCATCTCTATCTTTCAGCTTTAGTTCCGGTCTTCGCGACCCGCGACCTTTGTGTCACGAAGCCCTTTCGGGGCTGCTCCAAAAGCTGCAGCAAGTTTGGGGCGGCCCGGGTTTGCTGGGCTGCTGGACCTTCTCGTCACCTCGTCCGCATGTATCCGTGTGTTCATCCAGCGGCTGGGTGGAGTCTGATGACTTGACGACCTCTCAGCACGGAAGGCAACTCGCCGGAGCGAATGGCTTTGGGGTTCCTGCGAGCAGCAGCTCAAGCTTCCCGCTGCCGTTATACAAGCGCGAGCCTCCGGCCATCAAAACGGCATCTGCGATTTCAAGTAGTGTTCCCACCAGAGCCTAAGTTCGCTCTGCACATTCTGAAACTCGTGAAGACAAGGGGGCATCGATGCGGCCTAGAAACGCTTCCAAATCTCCCTTCTTGGCCTCCTTGTCCCAGGGCTTCGGGTACGAGCAGAAGTGCAGCACCTGAGGAAGAACAGACTGGACGTGATCATGTACTTTACCTTGCGCACGAGCTCTTCAGCAGAAGCCCTAACTTACATTTTGCTTGGTTTGCAACCCACTAAATGCTTGCCGAAAGTGCCTTCACAGGCTGTATTGATTCCCAGTACCCAGGATTGGCGCGTGTCAACCTCCGGCTGCACGGTGGACGTGTGCAGTTGCAATGCGCAACTGCAAGAAAACTCTGCGACTCACACATACTCACACGGAGAGGCTTCAGAACCCAAGGATGCCATGTCGGTGTCGCCGACGATCGCAGACGAAAACTAGTTTCTTTCTCAGAGATGCAGTTCATTGCGTGAAGAACTCTAGATTGGCTTGTCCCAGCGCCATCGAGACACATCATAACACGTCGCCATTAGATTATGTCGTCCGCAATTTAGCTAAGCCGGGCTTGGCTTGCAAGCAAGTCGCCAGTGCATGGTACGTAGAGCATTGTACCGGAATGGCAGCCGTTGCTCCGGAGGCCACAGGTACCAGTCAGGGAAGAAGGCGTTCAGGAAGCCCGTGTCGCCTGCTGAGGCCAAAACGCCGAAGCAAGCCTACGGCACATTCACTGTGTGACCTCCATCGTGGGACGGCAGCACAAGCATCTTATCCATCATGTCCTGCCGGACAACCGCAGCACCCCCCGCCTTGAGGGTCTGTACTCATTGCCTTCAAATTTATGGAAGCTGCGTGTCTGTCGTGCTTATGGGTGCGACCATTGGCTTGTAAGCGACCCCCGACATTCTGACAAGACTGGATCATGCAATTGGCTTAGATTCACCCTGCATCGTTGCCTCAAGCCCCTTACATCCCCTGCCTACTCTATGGTGTGATCGCCGGCCAAGCCTAACAGAGCGACGAAGTGTCAGGAAGCGAGTAAGACATGTTGTCGAATCAGTGTCAAAAATCGAAAATATCTGACGGGCATTCTTCATTGGAACATTGACACTACGACGGACCAAGTCAGATCAAGACTGCCAGTGCAGCGAGGCACGTCCCGATGAAGAAGCAAACCGATGGAGATCTAATTTGATGCATGTAAACACGCCACTTCTGCCTCTTGCAGGTTCTACATGGCCTGCCGTTCGACGGCGCCTGCGAAAGTTGTGCTCGAAGTGTGCTCGAAGCCGGTGTGGGTACACGATCACGGGCGCATGAAGAAATACTCATTCCTTTGTTCGGTGGCATGCCAACCAGAACCTACTGAATATAGCACACCGAATACAAACAAGCTTGCGCCCAGCAAGGTGCAAAAACCCCCAGTACACCACGACACGCAGACCAAAATCGTAAGCTACGGCACTCTGAACTGCAAATATTGAAGCAAAAGTCGGCAGAGGATTTGTAGGATTTAGCGTTGTCCAGTCCCCAATGTAGTTTCATGAAATTTTCGCTTCAACAATCTCATCACTAAAAGTGAAGACAGAGCAACACGGGAGTCATGAGATTGATTGGCATTGATTGGCTTTTGCATGCAACTCCCCCCAGGGCCATTTTTGCAACTTTGGGAGGCTTTGTACAATGAACACTTGAATTTGAAGATGGCGACGTCTCCTGGAAAACGGACAGGTTCGGCTCCAACACTATCACGCCCGCGTTGAATTTGTCGGGTGGGAAGACGTCCTTGCACATTGCAGCAGTTCGATTGGCTATACTGGAAATACTAAACATTGCCACTCGGAATCATGCATGGTTTCATTTCGCCGAGCAACTGGGCAGAACGCAGGACAGGCATGCGCAAAGAGCTCGTCGATGTTTTCCTGTTCCAAATGTGCAGATAACGTAAAAAAAGTTTTACGTGCAGGGACCGTGTATTCACAATTCAATGTTGACAAAGGCACCGGAACAAAACAAGCGTGCTGGGGCTGCCAATACGATGCAATCGGCATCGACATACACGATCTTCTCCTTGCAAATGTTCCCCGCTACATGCTGTCGTCCTATGATGTCTCCGATCGAGAACAGTCGAGACATGCTGCGACACGATGCGGTTCTCCCATCTTGCCGTGCTGCCACAAATCAGCAAAATAGTCATGTAAAGAGCTCGACGCACACGACTCCGCAAAAGCAGTCACTCGAGAGCAGAGCGAGGTGGCAGCTGTGCATGGCAGACGCTACCAAAAGCTTGGATGAATGTGAGTGATGCAGGGCTCCCTGTGTGTTGCTAATTGGTCCAGACAACCTCATCCTGCGTTGAGTCACTCATCGCGAAGCTCGTCCCTCAATGCAAGAAAGTAACAACTCTGAAACATTTGTTTACCCTCGAATGTATATGTTCGTGCGTTCTTTGTTTATTTGGTTCATTAATAATTTCTTCCTGTTCTCCTTTCTGTATTTCTTATTGTTTTCTCTGTGTCTGTCTTTAGTTCCTTTTTCTTTTTCATGTCTTTCTTTGTGTTCCGCTAGTTGCGTCTGTCCTTTCTTCCTGTATCTCGACATGATCTCGCTCATTTTTTGTTTTTTCTGTATCTGTTCTTTCCGGTTTTGCTTGTTGGTTCCTTGCTTCTCTCCTCCTTTGCGTCTTTCTTTCGGCTCTCTCCGTCTATAGCTTCCATGACAAAACCAAAAAATCGTGTACCTTCACCCTCCGACAAACTCATCGATGCTAGTGCTTATCAAACAGGAATCGGAAAATCGCCTGCGGTCAAGGGGTCCAGGAACTGCTGCCGTGTTCAGTTGTGTAGATGTATGTTGCCGCTATGTCCCCTCAATCGAGAACGCGGTCTTCCTGATTCAAGCAACGAGTCCCACCGCTGACCCGCAGATCCCTGGAGCTAGGGCTCCCTGAATCCTGGTTTCCCAAACCAGGTCCGCAAACAGCCACGCCTGCAAGCTCCGAAAGGGCTAGTTTTCGTGACAAACGGACACCACGTGTTGTTTATCATCACGCAGGGGCTCGTCCAGCAATCCACACGTGCTTGTGTTTAGTATATATAGACAAATCACGACAAACAGCAGAGCTTGTTGCCTGACCCGCAACATCCAGCAAAAGACCGATTCCCACCGTTCGGCAAGCTCCACCCCACTTCAGGACAAACCACGAAAGCCCACGTCGCCATTGCACACACGTGCCCTGATCCCGGATAGTTTGAGCGATGGCCAAGTCATGGTGCAGGCAGCCGTTCTTGCTTGAAACGCAAAAAGTCATGTTTCTCGCAGGGAGGCATGGCCAGGAAATGTTGGATTGACTAGCATGCTTCAGTTGATAATGCGGGCGCAAGTGTCGAAGTCGACTTGTTCCCAAACGCGGAGCTTCGTGAAACCAGAATTTACCCATCCGGACCTGCAGTACACGTGAGCAACATAGACACATAGACGTCCTTCTGTGCACAAGCTGCATGCCTGAGATGCTGAATGCAAATTGACCTCGAATAACTTCTTGCAGCCCAGTAGCACGTCTGTTTTGTGAGGATTTGGTATGGCATCTACCAGCCGCCTGAGATTTTGGAGTCAATGCGCAACTCCTGTCCAGCATCCAGCGTGGACGTATCATGTGAATAGCTAAGGCTGTAGCAACTGGACTGATGGATCACTCGCCAGTCGCGATTGAACACCACGCGATACTTGGCTTGTGTGCAGAACCTCGGTGCCGTAAGCTGCATGTCATCCGCGATCAGATTCTGCATTCCTTGCCGCAAATTACACCGAACTACAACAAGGCGAGATCATCACTATCGTAGGTTTCCGATACACAATCCGGAAATGTCCGCGCTGCCGTCTGACTGGATGCCATGTTTACCCAGTTTTCCGCCTGCGTGACAAGGGATCAGTCAGGTCGAGTTACTCCACTCTAGTTCGACCTACGACCCAACCCCAACTAGGCACAAGTGGCAACCATGACAAAACGCAACAGCAGCAGTGGCAGTTGTAGTCGTAGCCACAGTATAGCAATACTAAAGTAGTATTCGGACTAGTAGTAACAGGAGCAGCAGCAGCAGTAGTAGTAGCAGCTGGAGCACGAGTCGTGATGGCAGCAGTCGTCGTTGTGGTAGCAATAGCAGCAGGAATAGTCCTGCTCGTGGCAACGGCCGGCTCTGACCGTTTTGACCACCTTCGTCAATGTAATCGATCTCGAACCATGAAATTTTCGCATGCCGACAAAGCGTTTTTCCTCCGTGCTGGAGCGGTCTCAAGCCGCGACCAACCGACAACAGTCTACCGGCTCTTCGTTGTCCATTGGAACTTTCATGTATGCATGACTATGCATGCATAAATATTTCCTCTCGGTGCATGTATGTAAGCATGTAGCTACGACTGACATGTGCGCGTGAGTGTGTACATATCTGCATGCTTAGAAAAATTGTATATACATGTATATGTATGTATACTTGTTTATTTATTTAAACAAATGTGTACACCATCTACTACCCTTAACCATTTCGCTTTAAGTGTGGGCCCTGTCTCGTTCCCCAAGTAGCGTAGCCAAAGCCCTCATTGCCATATCCGAATTTATTTTTGACACCATAAGACCAAATAGCGGTCGCTCAGAAGGGCACCGACCCTTCCGCCTTCAACGCCACATGTAATAATGCTGACTGAACTGTTGAATCGCTGTAGGCATGCAACCAGCAGCGGCAGCGTTTGCAAAGTACAGGCCCGCAGCGATGCCGCCAGTGCCTGAACCGCCTTCGCAGGTAATTAATTTCGGGACATTACTCTAGCGACTGCATTGAACAACTGTCACGGTCGATAAGACTGACTGACCCAATAGCCACGGAGCCATCAAAAAATCATCGGATGTCAGCAGTGTGGCAAACGTGTTGGGCTTTGTAGCCATGGCTTGGTAACGTTGGATTTTCGGTGCTTGGTTTTCTTCAATTTTCTTCGTACAAATGGCCATGGCCATCGTTGCTATCACGGCAGCGTGCTGAAGTGCTGATTGACGTTGTCTGAACTTGCTGTGGTACTCCTGGTACTCGATGGACGCCATGCATACTGTACTACTTCTTTTCCCGCGGTCAAACGTGGAAGTTGCTGCAAAGAAAAACATGGTGCGGGGATGCCATGTGTATGTTCCAGGGGGAGTCGACACAGCGAACATGCTCTGCGATGACCTTTCTTGAAAGTTTACTTGTTCCCCACCTGATCTGTGCAAAAAATACAGCGCATAACTCGACAGTCGCCTTGCGCTTGGTCCTTGCGCTCACACGGGCTGGTCCTTGCGCTCACACGGGCTTAAACACATTCCCACCTTGAAGCTCTGATAAGCCTTCTTACCCTACTTTATCGCCCTGGCGCCGTGCTTGTATTTTGATGCAGGCCTAAAGCCTGCATCGCGATGTTAAAGTGCGCTGTTAGCCTACGGTCAAGCAGCGGGGGTTGTGTTTGCAGCCCCGCAGGCGGACACGACCGCCCACTCCCCCAAACCGGAAGAGGTGCCTCCATTGCCGTCTGCCGCTGCGCATGCTGACCGGCCCGCTCATCATGGCGCTTCCGTCCACCCCCCATGAAACACCGTGTTCCGCGTTGTTACAAGGGAACCTCGAACCGAGACCGACGGCATGCAAGACACTTCTCCGGGCCGTTGGCCCCGAAGCGCCCTGCCACAATGCCGGCCGCAAGGGCCCACTGATGCCTCGCCGTCCCGGTTGCACTGGCGTTTGCCACTCGCGTGATGGGCTTCCTCAAAAGCGCCGACGGCCGATCCGGAGTCGCGCTGGCTCACGCCGGGCAATGGATGTGGCGCGAGGCCACTAGTATCGTATAGTATACAGATGTATACAGTATACGTACGGCACCTGCGCTCCCTGGTCTCGTCGTATGTCACGGTGTTCGGAGATTAAAATTTTGTTTAAACGCACTTGTCCTCTCTGCTGAAGAGGTCTGAAGCCTCGACCACTTTACAACGGTCTACCGGCCTCTTCTACCTCTACTGCCCATCAGCGAGTCGGCAAGCGACTGTGTCGTGCCGGCTCCACCAGGTCCAGGACGCGATCGCAGTCTGGGCCGTCCGGCTGGCGTGGCTGCAACGGGGCAGGCCACGCCTGTCCTAGAGCAGTGCTGGCCACGGTTTGCTGAACGCCACTGACAGTTGGCACCACCACCGCCGCGTCCAGCCCGTTCACGCTGCGCTGCGCAACGCTGGCGGGGCGGAGGCGGGCGAGGGCCTGCACGAAGCGAAAAGCGTCCGTATTCCATCGCCCTCCGA